GGCCCCAGCACCGTCTGCCCCAGGCCCCGCAGCACGGAGCTGCATGGAGGCGCACGGAGCTGCATGGAGCCGCATGGAGCTGCACGGAGCTGCACGGAGCTGCACGGAGCTGCACGGAGCTGCACGGAGCTGCACGGAGCTGCACGGAGCTGCACGGAGCTGCACGGAGCTGCACGGAGCTGCACGGAGCTGCACGGAGCTGCACGGAGCTGCACGGAGCTGCACGGAGCTGCACGGAGCTGCACGGAGCTGCACGGAGCTGCACGGAGCTGCATGGAGCCGCACCAAGCGACAACGGGCTGCACGGAGCTGCACGGAGCTGCACGGAGCTGCACTGTGTGACAAGGAGCTGCTCAGAGCTGCACCGAGCGACAACAGGCTGCTCGGAGCTGCACAGAGCTGCGCTGTGCGACAACGGGCTGCTTGGAGCTGCACGGAGTTGCATGGAGCTGTACCTTGCAACAACAAGCTGCATGGAGCTACGCCGAGTTGCAAGGAGCTGCATGGAGTTGCATGGAGATGTATCTTGCAACAACGAGCTGCATGGAGCTACGCCGAGTTGCAAGGAGCTGCACGGAGCTGCATGGAGCTGCACTGCATGGCACCGGGCTGCATCGAACTGCACCCACCGAGCCGGCACCCCGGACCCATGGGTGCCCCGTGCTCCGTGCAGAGCCCGGCACGCGGTGCTGCACCAGCATGGGCTGCACTGGGGGAGCCCCCACCTTGCTCCGGGTGCCCCCCCATGGCACCATCCGGATTGGGGCATCTGGCCCCATGGGGCAGCTCAGCCCCACTGCGGGTCTCGGTGCTGCTTGACCAGGAGGGGGTCCCAGCCCTACTTGGGGGGGGGGGTCCTGGAACACCCTGAGCAGAGAGGGACCCCCGAGCTGGAGGGGTCCCAGGGCACCTTGTATGTCCCTTAGCCCCGGTGGGGGGTGACGGTGCATCCCGCCTTTCCAAGGGGGTGGGCAGGGAAGCAGGGAAGTCCCCGAGCCCGGGGGGTCCTGGTGCCTCCTACCTGGTGACAGGGGGTCCCTGGGTCCCACCCGGGAGTCCCCAGCTGATCCCGGTGGGGGCCACCAGCGCCACCGGGGAGGTCCCCGCTCTGTCCTGGGAAGGGAGGGGATGTCCCCAGCCCCGCTGGGGGGGTTCTCAATGCACCGATTCCCGTGGGAGGGGGGTGGTCCCGAGCCCATCGGGAGGGGGGATCCCGCTGCTCCCTGCTGGGGGGTGGGTGAGAAGCGGG